CCTTGTCTTTCACAATTCACAACAGAGGTAATTGTAGTCAGGTTTTGAGCTTCAAGGAAACCACAAATTAATCGACACTACACTTACTTAGAATACGAAAATGATGACTCTGGTGGGACTCGAAACCAACAACCTTTGAATGCTTTCTTCTCTCACCTAGAAGTCCAATGCGCTGTCCAATGCGCCACAGAGCCCCTCTGCTTTTCAGTCACTCCTTCTGCGCCCACGGACAAGAAATGGGAAAATCCCAATTAAGAGACACCTAACTGTAGTCAGGTTTTGAGCTACAAGGAAAATAATTTAATTATATTTTCTCAGTGATGAAATCCCAAAAATTCTTTTGTGAAGAAAAGATGTGTTTTATTAAGGCACTGCTGGGATTTGAACCCAGGATCTCCTGTTTACTAGACAGGCACTTTAACCAACTAAGCCACAGCGCCTTGTTTGTTTCAATTTACATCAGAGGTAACTGTAGTCAGGTTTTGAGCTACAAGGAAAATAATTTAATTATATTTTTACAATGATGGAATCCCAAAAATTCTTTTGTAAAAAAAAAGATGTGTTTTATTAAGGCACCGCTGGGATTTGAACCCAGGATCTCCTGTTTATTAGACAGGCACTTTAACCAACTAAGCCACAGCATCTTGTTTGTTCCAAATTACATCAGAGGTAACTGTAGTCAGGTTTTGAGCTACAAGGAAAATAATTTAATTATATTTTCTCAATGATGAAATCCCAAAAATTCTTTTGTGAAGAAAAGATGTGTTTTATTAAGGCACAGCTGGGATTTGAACCCAGGATCTCCTGTTTACTAGACAGGCACTTTAACCAACTAAGCCACAGCACCTTGTTTGTGCCAATTACATCAGAGGTAACTGTAGTCAGGTTTTGAGCTACAAGGAAAATAATTTAATTTTATTTTGACAATGATGGAATCCCAAAAATAATTTTGTGAAGAAAAGATGTATTTCTATGAGGCACTGCTGGGATTTGAAGCCAGGATCTAATGTTTATGAGACAGGGACTTTAACCTACTAAGCCACGGTGCCTTGCTATGCCAAATCACAACAGAGGAAATTGTAATCAGGTTTTGAGCTTCAAGGAAACCAAAAATTAATCGACACTACACTTACTTAGAATACGAAAATGATGACTCTGGTGGGACTCGAACCCACAACCTTAGAATGCCTTCTTCTCTCACCTAGAAGTCCAATGCGCTGTCCATTGCGCCACAGAGCCCCTCTGCTTTTCAGTCACTCCTTCTGCGCCCGCAGGACAAGAAATGGGAAAATCCCAATTAAGAGACACCTAACTGTAGTCAGGTTTTGAGCTACAAGGAAAATAATTTAATTATATTTTTACAATGATGGAATCCCAAAAATTCTTTTGTGAAGAAAAGATGTGTTTTATTAAGGCACCGCTGGGATTTGAACCCAGGATCTCCTGTTTACTAGACAGGCACTTTAACCAACTAAGCCACAGCGCCTTGTTTGTTCCAATTTACATCAGAGGTAACTGTAGTCAGGTTTTGAGCTACAAGGAAAATAATTTAATTATATTTTTACAATGATGGAATCCCAAAAATTATTTTGTGAAGAAAAGATGTATTTCTATGAGGCACTGCTGGGATTTGAACCCAGGATCTAATGTTTATGAGACAGGGACTTTAACCTACTAAGCCACGGTGCCTTGCTATGACAATTCACAACAGAGGTAATTGTAGTCAGGTTTTGAGCTTCAAGGAAACCACAAATTAATCGACACAACACTTACTTAGAATACGAAAATGATGACTCTGGTGGGACTCGAACCCACAACCTTTGAATGCCTTCTTCTCTCACCTAGAAGTCCAATGCGCTGTCCATTGCGCCACAGAGCCCCTCTGCTTTTCAGTCACTCCTTCTGCGCCCACGGACAAGAAATGGGAAAATCCCAATTAAGAGACACCTAACTGTAGTCATGTTTTGAGCTACAAGGAAAATAATTTAATTATATTTCTCAATGATGAAATCCCAAAAATTCTTTTGTGAAGAAAAGATGTGTTTTATTAAGGCACCGCTGGGATTTGAACCCAGGATCTCCTGTTTACTAGACAGGCACTTTAACCAACTAAGCCACAGCGCCTTGTTTGTTTCAATTTACATCAGAGGTAACTGTAGTCAGGTTTTGAGCTACAAGGAAAATAATTTAATTATATTTTTACAATGATGGAATCCCAAAAATTATTTTGTGAAGAAAAGATGTATTTCTATGAGGCACCACTGGGAATTAAACCCAGGATCTCCTGTTTAGGAGACAGGAACTTTAACCTACTAAGCCACAGTGCCTTGTCTTTCACAATTCACAACAGAGGTAATTGTAGTCAGGTTTTGAGCTTCAAGGAAACCACAAATTAATCGACACTACACTTACTTAGAATACGAAAATGATGACTCTGGTGGGACTCGAACCCACAACCTTTGAATGCCTTCTTCTCTCACCTAGAAGTCCAATGCGCTGTCCATTGCGCCACAGAGCCCCTCTGCTTTTCAGTCACTCCTTCTGCGCCCGCAGGACAAGAAATGGGAAAATCCCAATTAAGAGACACCTAACTGTAGTCAGGTTTTGAGCTACAAGGAAAATAATTTAATTATATTTTCTACCAATTGAATGGAACTCCCAAAAATAATTTTTTGTAGAAGTAAGAAAAGATGTATTTTTATGAGGCACCGCTGGGAATTTAAACCCAGGATCTAATGTTTATGAGACAGGGACTTTAACCTACTAAGCCACGGTGCCTTGCTATGACAATTCACAACAGAGGTAATTGTAATCAGGTTTTGAGCTTCAAGGAAACCAAAAATTAATCGACACAACACTTACTTAAAATACGAAAATGATGACTCTGGTGGGACTCGAACCCACAACCTTTGAATGCCTTCTTCTCTCACCTAGAAGTCCAATGCGCTGTCCATTGCGCCACAGAGCCCCTCTGCTTTTCAGTCACTCCTTCTGCGCCCGCAGGACAAGAAATGGGAAAATCCCAATTAAGAGACACCTAACTGTAGTCAGGTTTTGAGCTACAAGGAAAATAATTTAATTATATTTTCTCAATGATGAAATCCCAAAAATTCTTTTGTGAAGAAAAGATGTGTTTTATTAAGGCACCGCTGGGATTTGAACCCAGGATCTCCTGTTTACTAGACAGGCACTTTAACCAACTAAGCCACAGCGCCTTGTTTGTTCCAATTTACATCAGAGGTAACTGTAGTCATGTTTTGAGCTACAAGGAAAATAATTTAATTATATTTTTACAATGATGGAATCCCAAAAATTATTTTGTGAAGAAAAGATGTATTTCTATGAGGCACCGCTGGGAATTAAACCCAGGATCTAATGTTTATGAGACAGGGACTTTAACCTACTAAGCCACGGTGCCTTGCTATGACAATTCACAACAGAGGTAATTGTAATCAGGTTTTGAGCTTTAAGGAAACCACAAATTAATCGACACTACACTTACTTAGAATACGAAAATGATGACTCTGGTGGGACTCGAACCCACAACCTTTGAATGCCTTCTTCTCTCACCTAGAAGTCCAATGCGCTGTCCATTGCGCCACAGAGCCCCTCTGCTTTTCAGTCACTCCTTCTGCGCCCGCAGGACAAGAAATGGGAAAATCCCAATTAAGAGACACCTAACTGTAGTCAGGTTTTGAGCTACAAGGAAAATAATTTATTATATTTTCCAATGATGAAATCCCAAAAATTCTTTTGTGAAGAAAAGATGTGTTTTATTAAGGCACCGCTGGGATTTGAACCCAGGATCTCCTGTTTTCTAGACAGGCACTTTAACCAACTAAGCCACAGCGCCTTGTTTGTTCCAATTTACATCAGAGGTAACTGTAGTCAGTTTTGAGCTACAAGGAAAATATTTTAATTTTATTTTTACAATGATGGAATCCCAAAAATAATTTTGTGAAGAAAAGATGTATTTCTATGAGGCACTGCTGGGATTTGAACCCAGGATCTCCTGTTTACTAGACAGGCACTTTAACCAACTAAGCCACAGCACCTTGTTTGTTCCAATTTACATCAGAGGTAACTGTAGTCAGGTTTTGAGCTACAAGGAAAATAATTTAATTATATTTTTACAATGATGGAATCCCAAAAATTATTTTGTGAAGAAAAGAGGTATTTCTATGAGGCACCGCTGGGAATTTAACCCAGGATCTCTGTTTAGGAGACAGGAACTTTAACCTACTAAGCCACAGTGCCTTGTCTTTCACAATTCACAACAGAGGTAATTGTAGTCAGGTTTTGAGCTTCAAGGAAACCACAAATTAATCGACACTACACTTACTTAGAATACGAAAATGATGACTCTGGTGGGACTCGAAACCCACAACCTTTGAATGCCTTCTTCTCTCACCTAGAAGTCCAATGCGCTGTCCATTGCGCCACAGAGCCCCTCTGCTTTTCAGTCACTCCTTCTGCGCCCACAGGACAAGAAATGGGAAAATCCCAATTAAGAGACACCTAACTGTAGTCAGGTTTTGAGCTACAAGGAAAATTATTTCATTATATTTTTACAATGATGGAATCCCAAAAATTCTTTTGTGAAGAAAAGATGTGTTTTATTAAGGCACCGCTGGGATTTGAACCCAGGATCTCCTGTTTACTAGACAGGCACTTTAACCAACTAAGCCACAGCGCCTTGTTTGTTCCAATTTACATCAGAGGTAACTGTAGTCAGGTTTTGAGCTACAAGGAAAATAAATTAATTATATTTTTACAATGATGGAATCCCAAAAATTATTTTGTGAAGAAAAGATGTATTTCTATGAGGCACCACTGGGATTAAACCCAGGATCTCCTGTTTAGGAGACAGGAACTTTAACCTACTAAGCCACAGTGCCTTGTCTTTCACAATTCACAACAGAGGTAATTGTAGTCAGGTTTTGAGCTTCAAGGAAACCACAAATTAATCGACACTACACTTACTTAGAATACGAAAATGATGACTCTGGTGGGACTCGAACCCACAACCTTTGAATGCCTTCTTCTCTCACCTAGATGTCCTGTCCATTGCGCCACAGAGCCCCTCTGCTTTTCAGTCACTCCTTCTGCGCCCGCAGGACAAGAAATGGGAAAATCCCAATTAAGAGACACCTAACTGTAGTCAGGTTTTGAGCTACAAGGAAAATAATTTAATTATATTTTCTCAATGATGAAATCCCAAAAATTCTTTTGTGAAGAAAAGATGTGTTTTATTAAGGCACCGCTGGGATTTGAACCCAGGATCTCCTGTTTACTAGACAGGCACTTTAACCAACTAAGCCACAGCGCCTTGTTTGTTCAATTTACATCAGAGGTAACTGTAGTCATGTTTTGAGCTACAAGGAAAATAATTTAATTATATTTTTACAATGATGGAATCCCAAAAATTATTTTGTGAAGAAAAGATGTATTTCTATGAGGCACCACTGGGAATTAAACCAAGGATCTCCTGTTTAGGAGACAGGAACTTTAACCTACTAAGCCACAGTGCCTTGTCTTTCACAATTCACAACAGAGGTAATTGTAGTCAGGTTTTGAGCTTCATGGAAACCACAAATTAATCGACACAACACTTACTTAGAATACGAAAATGATGACCCTGGTGGGACTCGAACCCACAACCTTTGAATGCCTTCTTCTCTCACCTAAAAGTCCAATGCGCTGTCCATTGCGCCACAGAGCCCCTCTGCTTTTCAGTCACTCCTTCTGCGCCCGCAGGACAAGAAATGGGAAAATCCCAATTAACAGACACCTAACTGCAGTCAGGTTTTGAGCTACAAGGAAAATAATTTAATTATATTTTCTCAATGATGAAATCCCAAAAATTCTTTTGTGAAGAAAAGATGTGTTTTATTAAGGCACCGCTGGGATTTGAACCCAGGATTTCCTGTTTACTAGACAGGCACTTTAACCAACTAAGCCACAGCGCCTTTTTTGTTCCAATTTACATCAGAGGTAACTGTAGTCATGTTTTGAGCTACAAGGAAAATAATTTAATTATATTTTTACAATAATGGAATACCAAAAATTATTTTGTGAAGAAAAGATGTATTTCTATGAGGCACTGCTGGGATTTGAACCCAGGATCTCCTGTTTACTAGACAGGCACTTTAACCAACTAAGCCACAGTGCCTTGTCTTTCACAATTCACAACAGAGGTAATTGTAGTCATGTTTTGAGCTTCAAGGAAACCACAAATTAATCGACACTACACTTACTTAGAATACGAAAATGATGACTCTGGTGGGACTCGAACCCACAACCTTTGAATGCCTTCTTCTCTCACCTAGAAGTCCAATGCGCTGTCCATTGCGCCACAGAGCCCCTCTGCTTTTCAGTCACTCCTTCTGCGCCGGCAGGACAAGAAATGGGAAAATCCCAATTAAGAGACACCTAACTGTAGTCAGGTTTTGAGCTACAAGGAAAATAATTTAATTTTATTTTTACAATGATGGAATCCCAAAAATAATTTTGTGAAGAAAAGATGTATTTCTATGAGGCACTGCTGGGATTTGGACATAGGATCTAATGTTTATGAGACAGGGACTTTAACCTACTAAGCCACGGTGCCTTGCTATGACAAATCACAACAGAGGAAATTGTAATCAGGTTTTGAGCTTCAAGGAAACCAAAAAATTAATCGACACAACACTTACTTAAAATACGAAAATGATGACTCTGGTGGGACTCGAACCCACAACCTTTGAATGCCTTCTTCTCTCACCTAGATGTCCAATGCGCTGTCCATTGAGCCACAGAGCCACTCTACTTTTCAGTCACTCCTTCTGCGCCCACAGGACAAGAAATGGGAAAATCCCAATTAAGAGACACCTAACTGTAGTCAGGTTTTGAGCTACAAGGAAAATTATTTCATTATATTTTTACAATGATGGAATCCTAAAAATTCTTTTGTGAAGAAAAGATGTGTTTTATTAAGGCACCGCTGGGATTTGAACCCAGGATCTCCTGTTTACTAGACAGGTACTTTAACCAACTAAGCCACAGCGCCTTGTTTGTTCCAAATTACATCAGAGGTAACTGTAGTCAGGTTTTGAGCTACAAGGAAAATAAATTAATTATATTTTTACAATGATGGAATCCCAAAAATTATTTTGTGAAGAAAAGATGTATTTCTATGAGGCACCGCTGGGAATTAAACCCAGGATCTCCTGTTTAGGAGACAGGAACTTTAACCTACTAAGCCACAGTGCCTTGTCTTTCACAATTCACAACAGAGGTAATTGTAGTCAGGTTTTGAGCTACAAGGAAAATAATTTAATTATATTTTTACAATGATGGAATCGCAAAAATTATTTTGTGAAGAAAAGATGTGTTTTATTAAGGCACCGCTGGGATTTGAACCCAGGATCTCCTGTTTACTAGACAGGCACTTTAACCAACTAAGCCACAGTGCCTTGTCTTTCACAATTCACAACAGAGGTAATTGTAGTCAGGTTTTGAGCTTCAAGGAAACCACAAATTAATCGACACTACACTTACTTAGAATACGAAAATGATGACTCTGGTGGGACACGAACCCACAACCTTTGAATGCCTTCTTCTCTCACCTAGAAGTCCAATGCGCTGTCCATTGTGCCACAGAGCCCCTCTGCTTTTCAGTCACTCCTTCAGCGCCCGCAGGACAAGAAATGGGAAAATCCCAATTAAGACACACCTAACTGCAGTCAGGTTTTGAGCTACAAGGAAAATAATTTAATTATATTTTTACAATGATGGAATCCCAAAAATTCTTTTGTGAAGAAAAGATGTGTTTTATTAAGGCACCGCTGGGATTTGAACCCAGGATCTCCTGTTTACTAGACAGGCACTTTAACCAACTAAGCCACAGCGCCTTGTTTGTTCCAATTTACATCAGAGGTAACTGTAGTCAGGTTTTGAGCTACAAGGAAAATAATTTAATTATATTTTTACAATGATGGAATCCCAAAAATTATTTTGTGAAGAAAAGATGTGTTTTATTAAGGCACCGCTGGGAATTAAACCCAGGATCTCCTGTTTAGGAGACAGGAACTTTAACCTACTAAGCCACAGTGCCTTGTCTTTCACAATTCACAACAGAGGTAATTGTAGTCAGGTTTTGAGCATCAAGGAAACCAAAAATTAATCGACTCAACACTTTCTTAGAATGCAAACTGATGACTCTGGTGGGACTTGAACCCTCAACCTTTGAATGCCTTCTTCTCTCCTAGAAGTCCAATGCGCTGTCCATTGCGCCACAGAGCCCCACTGTTTTTCAGTCACTCCTTCTGCGCCCGCAGGAAAAGAAATGGGAAAATCCCAAATAAGAGACACCTAACTGTAGTCAGGTTTTAAGCTACAAGGAAAATAATTTAATTATATTTTCTCAATGATGAAATCCCAAAAATTCTTTTGTGAAGAAAAGATGTGTTTTATTAAGGCACTGCTGGGATTTGAACCCAGGATCTCCTGTTTACTAGACAGGCACTTTAACCAACTAAGCCACAGCGCCTTGTTTGTTCCAATTTACATCAGAGGTAACTGTAGTCATGTTTTGAGCTACAAGGAAAATAATTTAATTTTATTTTTACAATGATGGAATCCCAAAAATAATTTTGTGAAGAAAAGATGTATTTCTATGAGGCACTGCTGGGATTTGAACCCAGGATCTCCTGTTTACTAGACAGGCACTTTAACCAACTAAGCCACAGCACCTTGTTTGTTCCAAATTACATCAGAGGTAACTGTAGTCAGGTTTTGAGCTACAAGGAAAATAATTTAATTATATTTTTACAATGATGGAATAGCAAAAATTCTTTTGTGAAGAAAAGATGTGTTTTATTAAGGCACCGCTGGGATTTGAACCCAGGATCTCCTGTTTACTAGACAGGCACTTTAACCAACTAAGCCACAGCGCCTTGTTTGTTTCAATTTACATCAGAGGTAACTGTAGTCATGTTTTGAGCTACAAGGAAAATAATTTAATTTTATTTTTACAATGATGGAATCCCAAAAATAATTTTGTGAAGAAAAGATGTATTTCTATGAGGCACTGCTGGGATTTGAACCCAGGATCTAATGTTTATGAGACAGGGACTTTAACCTACTAAGCCACAGTGCCTTGCTATGACAATTCACAACAGAGGTAATTGTAGTCAGGTTTTGAGCTTCAAGGAAACCACAAATTAATCGACACAACACTTACTTAGAATACGAAAATGATGACTATGGTGGGACTCGAACCCACAACCTTTGAATGCCTTCTTCTCTCACCTAGAAGTCCAATGCGCTGTCCATTGCGCCACAGAGCCCCTCTGCTTTTTAGTCACTCCTTCTGCGCCCGCAGGACAAGAAATGGGAAAATCCCAATTAAGAGACACCTAACTGTAGTCAGGTTTTGAGCTACAAGGAAAATTATTTCATTATATTTTTACAATGATGGAATCCCAAAAATTCTTTTGTGAAGAAAAGATGTGTTTTATTAAGGCACCGCTGGGATTTGAACCCAGGATCTCCTGTTTACTAGACATGCACTTTAACCAACTAAGCCACAGCGCCTTGTTTGTTCCAATTTACATCAGAGGTAACTGTAGTCAGGTTTTGAGCTACAAGGAAAATAAATTAATTATATTTTTACAATGCTGGAATCCCAAAAATTATTTTGTGAAGAAAAGATGTATTTCTATGAGGCACCACTGGGAATTAAACCCAGGATCTCCTGTTTAGGAGACAGGAACTTTAACCTACTAAGCCACAGTGCCTTGTCTTTCACAATTCACAACAGAGGTAATTGTAGTCAGGTTTTGAGCTTCAAGGAAACCACAAATTAATCGACACTACACTTACTTAGAATACGAAAATGATGACTCTGGTGGGACTCGAACCCACAACCTTTGAATGCCTTCTTCTCTCACCTAGAAGTCCAATGCGCTGTCCATTGCCCCACAGAGCCCCTCTGCTCTTCAGTGACTCCTTCTGCGCCCGCAGGACAAGAAATGGGAAAAATCCCAATTAAGAGACACCTAACTGTAGTCAGGTTTTGAGCTACAAGGAAAATAATTTAATTATATTTTCTCAATGATGAAATCGCAAAAATTCTTTTGTGAAGAAAAGATGTGTTTTATTAAGGCACCGCTGGGATTTGAACCCAGGATCTCCTGTTTACTAGACAGGCACTTTAACCAACTAATCCACAGCGCCTTGTTTGTTCCAATTTACATCAGAGGTAACTGTAGTCATGTTTTGAGCTACAAGGAAAATAATGTAATTATATTTTCTCAATGATGAAATCCCAAAAAATATTTTGTGAAGAAAAGATGTATTTTGTTAAGGAACCGCTGGGATTTGAACCCAGGATCTCCTGTTTACGAGACAGGCACTTTAACCAACTAAGCCACAGCACCTTGTTTGTTCCAAATTACATCAGAGGTAACTGTAGTCAGGTTTTGAGCTACAAGGAAAATAATTTATTTATATTTTTACAATGATGGAATCGCAAAAATTCTTTTGTGAAGAAAAGATGTGTTTTATTAAGGCACCGCTGGGATTTGAACCCAGGATCTCCTGTTTACTAGACAGGCACTTTAACCAACTAAGCCACAGCACCTTGCTTGTTCCAATTTTCATCAGAGGTAACTGTAGTCAGTTTTGAGCTACAAGGAAAATAATTTATTTATATTTTTACAATGATGGAATTCCCAAAATTATTTTGTGAAGAAAAGATGTATTTCTATGAGGCACCGCTGGGAATTAAACCCAGGATCTCCTGTTTAGGAGACAGGAACTTTAACCTACTAAGCCACAGTGCCTTGTCTTTCACAATTCACAACAGAGGTAATTGTAGTCAGGTTTTGAGCTACAAGGAATCCACAAATTAATCGACACAACACTTACTTAGAATACGAAAATGATGACTCTGGTGGAACTCAAACCCACAACCTTTGAATGCCTTCTTCTCTCACCTAGAAGTCCAATGCGCTGTCCATTGCACCACAGAGCCCCTCTGCTTTTCAGTCACTCCTTCTGCGCCCGCAGGACAAGAAATGGGAAAATCCCAATTAAGAGACACCTAACTGTAGTCAGGTTATGAGCTACAAGGAAAATAATTTAATTATATTTTTACAATGATGGAATCCCAAAAATTCTTTTGTGAAGAAAAGATGTATTTTGTTAAGGCACCGCTGGGATTTGAACCCAGGATCTCCTGTTTACTAGACAGGCACTTTAACCAATTAAGCCACAGCGCCTTGTTTGTTCCAATTTACATCAGAGGTAACTGTAGTCAGGTTTTGAGCTACAAGGAAAATAATTTCATTATATTTTTACAATGATGGAATCCCAAAAATTATTTTGTGAAGAAAAGATGTATTTATATGAGGCACTGCTGGGATTTGAATCCAGGATCTAATGATTATGAGACAGGGACTTTAACCTACTAAGCCACGGTGCCTTGCTATGACAATTCACAACAGAGGTAATTGTAGTCAGGTTTTGAGCTTCAAGAAAACCACAAACTAAACGACACAACACTTACTTAGAATACGAAAATGATGACTCTGGTTGGACTCGAACCCACAACCTTTGAATGCCTTCTTCTCTCACCTAGAAGTCCAATGCACTGTCCATTGCGCCACAGATCCCCTCTGCTTTTCTGTCACTCCTTCTGCCCCCGCAGGACAAGAAATGTAAAAATCCCTATTATGAGACACCTAACTGTAGTCAGGTTTTCAGCTACAAGGAAAATAAATTAATTATATTTTCTCAATGATGAAATCCCAAAAATTCTTTTGTGAAGAAAAGATGTGTTTTATTAAGGCACCGCTGGGATTTGAACCCAGGATCTCCTGTTTACTAGACAGGCACTTTAACCAACTAAGCCACAGCGCCTTGTTTGTTTCAATTTACATCAGAGGTAACTGTAGTCAGGTTTTGAGCTACATGGAAAATAATTTATTTATATTTTTACAAAGATGGAATCCCAAAAATTATTTTGTGAAGAAAAGATGTATTTCTATGAGGCACCGCTGGGAATTAAACCCAGTATCTTCTGTTTAGGAGACAGGAACTTTAACCTACTAAGCCACAGTGCCTTGTCTTTCACAATTCACAACAGAGGTAATTGTAGTCAGGTTTTGAGCTTCAAGGAAACCAAAAATTAATCGACACAACACTTACTTAAAATACGAAAATAATGACTCTGGTGAGACTCGAACCCACAACCTTTGAATGCCTTCTTCTCTCTCCTAGAAGTCCAATGCGCTGTCCATTGCGCCACAGAGCCCCTCTGCTTTTCAATCACTCCTTCTGGGCCCACAGGACAAGAAATGGGAAAATCCCAATTAAGAGACACCTAACTGTAGTCAGGTTTTGAGCTACAGAAAAATAATTTAATTATGTTTTCCCAATGATGAAATCCCAAAAATTCTTTTGTGAAGAAAAGATGTGTTTTATTAAGGCACCGCTGGGATTTGAACCCAGGATCTCCTGTTTACTAGACAGGCACTTTAACCAACTAAGCCACAGCGCCTTGTTTGTTCCAATTTACATCAGAGGTAACTGTAGTCAGGTTTTGAGCTACAAGGAAAATAATTTAATTATATTTTTACAATGATGGAATCCCAAAAATTATTTTGTGAAGAAAAGATGTATTTCTATGAGGCACTGCTGGGATTTGGACACAGGATCTAATGTTTATGAGACAGGGACTTTAACCTACTAAGCCACGGTGCCTTGCTATGACAAATCACAACAGAGGAAATTGTAATCAGGTTTTGAGCTTCAAGGAAACCAAAAATTAATCAACACAACACTTACTTAAAATACGAACATGTTGACTCTGGTGGGACTCGAACCCACAACCTTTGAATGCCTTCTTCTCTCACCTAGAAGTCCAATGCGCTGTCCATTGCGCCACAGAGCCCCTCTGCTTTTCACCCACTCCTTCTGCGCCTGCAGTACAAGAAAAGGGAAAATCCCAATTAAGAGACACCTAACTGCAGTCAGGTTTTGAGCTACAAGGAAAATAATTTAATTATATTTTCTCAATGATGAAATCCCAAAAATTCTTTTGTGAAGAAAAGATGTGTTTTATTAAGGCACCGCTGGGATTTGAACCCAGGATCTCCTGTTTACTAGACAGGCACTTTAACCAACTAAGCCACAGCGCCTTGTTTGTTCCAATTTACATCAGAGGTAACTGTAGTCAGGTTTTGAGCTACAAGGAAAATAATTTAATTATATTTTTACAATGATGGAATCCCAAAAAT